TTGTTTTCTAAAGCCCTGAATTGTTCATCTCAAGGGGTTTTTTTAATCGCAGGCCTCATTTAAATGCACATAAACTCCAAACAACCCACCACCACCCAAAGAATTCAAAATCTAAAATGAAAATAAAACAATGTTTCCTAATTTCTTAACACACACATTATCAAATCAGTCTCAAAGATACACATAGTCTGTCCACTTTAGAATTTAAATTTCAGAATTATACAAATAAATCACAAACTTTCATCAGACACTGTTTGTCACCTCTCTTTCACTGTCCCTCCACTTAGTCTCTCACTCAGACACTCTCTGACCCTCTGATGCTCTCTATCTCTCTTTCTCTCTGTTTTCCTCTGTCCCTCACTTTCTCTCACTCAATCTCCTATTCAGCCCTCCCTCATGCTCTCTCTTGCTTTGTCTCTCGCTTGCCCTCTTACTCACTTTCTCTCTATCTTTCTCACTCTCTCTCTGTGCTGACCTCTACCAGGAATCAGCCTCATACAATTGAAAACAACTTTTTATTTTGTTACAGACGCAGTTTTATCATGATTGAACTCCACTTAAACACTGACTGAACAGATAATTAGATATCAGCTAAGCATGATAGTCAGACCAGAATTAACACAAATTATAATACTATACAGAAGCAGAAACCAATTCACTTCTAAAGTGATGATTATTAAGCTTTATCTTGACAATGTTGTTTCAAAAGAGTTTCTGCTTGCGTAGCAGGTTGGAACAGGAGCTCTTGTAATGCAGTGGGTAATGTCCTTACCTCTTGGCCAGAAGCTCTGGATTTAAGTCCCACTGCAGGACTTGATGGTCACGGGTGGTGGATCATAATGTGACTAAACAGGTAAGTTTTCAACCTATAAATCTTTCCAATGCACTATCGGCAGACAATACAGTGGGAGAGTTTCCTGGTCGGTCCAAACCATGGGGGAGCCACAATGCAACACCCTTCCCGCATTAACATCTCCACCTACTGTCTTTTTTCCCATGAGAAAGCATCACCCTCGTTCTGAGGGTCTACTGCACACAACTTGTTGGAACTGAAGGTTTTTAAAATCAAAACACCACTTCTCACTCAAATAATGTTATAGAATTTCTCTTTCACTTTTTAAAGAGAGTTAGCTCCTCAGTGCTGTTTTTGTTTTTGAGTTCTTGCTTAGAGTCCGATCAACTGAAAAGAAATCCCACCATCCTCAACGGTATGAAATAGTAACAAACATCTCTGTGTCTTCCCTGGTGAACCCCCGCCTCAACCACCACGTTGCCCCCCTACCCCAACCACTATGTTCCCCGCTCCTCCCCCCCACCGAGGGCATAGGGCATTGGAACATAGGAACAGGAAGGAGGTGCCATCCACAACAGCAATAGGGTTCCCCTTGTCCTCACCTACCATCCCACCAGCGTCCACATCCAGAGGATCTTTAGCTGTCATCTCCGCCACCTCCAGTGGGATCCCCACCTTCTGCAGGGATCGTTTCCTCTGTGACACCGTGGTCCACTCCTCCTTTACTTCCAATACCCCCCCAGCCCCAGGGCACCTTCCCCTGCAACTAAAGAAGGTGTAACACTTGCCCGTTTACTTCCTCCCTCCTCACTCCCCAAGACCCCAAACACACCTTCCAGGTGAAGCAGCCCTTTACGTACACTTCACGCAATCTAGTCTACTGTATTTGCAGCCCACAATGCGGCCTCCTCTACATTGGGGAAACAAAGTGTAGATTGGGTGACTGCTTCTCAGAACACCTGTGTTCTGCCTGCAGAAAAGACCCTGAGCTTCCAGTTGCCTGTCACTTCAACACACCACCCGTGTTCCCTGGCCAATATCTCTGTCTCAGGCTTGCTGCAGTGCTCCAGCGAAGCTCAGCGCAAGCTGGAATATCAGCACCTCATTTTCTGCTTGGGAACCCTGCAGCATTCTGGACTTAATAACAAGTTCACCAATGTTAGGGTTTGAGCACCTTTTCCTATGCTTTCTCCCACCTCCACACACCAGACCTTGTCAGCACATAGGCTGCTACCACACACTATCCATTGTTGGCCACTAATGGTCCCCATTAGCAGCTTCATTTCCCCAAACTGACCTTTAACTACTCCCTTGGCTGTCCAACTGTTTTTCTCTCTCTTTGGGCTCCATCTGCATCTTTCATTTACTCTCCCCTCCCCCACCCTACCTTCTGTATAAAATCCATCCTTTTCCTAGCTACCATCAGTTCAGAAGAAGAGTCACTGGACCCGATACATTAACTCTGATTTCTCTCCACGGATGCTGCCAGACCTGCTACAATTTTCCAACAATTTCTGTTTATGTTTCAGATTTCCAGCATCCGCAGTGTTTTTGGTTTTTAAAAAATTCTATCAGTCTTGGTTCCTCAACATTTCTCGTTGACTCCTGGCCCGAACTGCTTTTTGATGACAGACAGTTCTACATTTCTATCCTACTTTGTGTAAAGAAATACTTCAACCCTGAACATCTAAACTCAAATTAGTGATAGTCCCTTCTTCTGAACCCTCATACCAAGAGGATATAATCTCTCTTGTTGCTAAATCATTGCCTTTGAGCATCTTACAACACCACAAGCTTCCAGATTCAAGCCTAGTCTGTTCCAGTTATCGTTCAAATCTAACACTTTCATTCCCTGGTTCCAACTCCTGCCTCCTTCACATGTCTGTGCCTGGGGTTAACTAACCTCCTAGCACAGGTAGGGAGAATAATCCCAAGACCTCTTTGGTCTGTGCATCACGAAAGGGAACGAATTTCGTTAAATTATTGGCAGAAGTCAGAGTGGACTAAACTTGAACACAGGGAAGAAAAACACTTCGTCACTCAGTCCCAGGAATGCAACATCTTCTTAGCTTTAACGTAATGAAGAGTGATCATTGTGGAGTTAGATATGCTGAGTTCTTCCCAAGTGAAAACGAAATACTAACATGCTGGGAGTAAACTGTAAAGCAGAATCTGGATGATAAACCGAAGTTTGTGTCAGAGTTTGTTAGTTCGGATGCTGAATATTGCTCCAGTCCCGGAGCGGAGGCCAGAGCGGGGAAGCAGTCCCGGAGTGGAAGCCAGAGCGGGGAAGCAGTCCCGGAGCGGAGGCCAGAGCAGGCAAGC